TTATCTAAACATAGAAAGGGCTAAGCAGCTAGATGAGATGACAATGCAGTACTAATTAACTAGTTAACTCATTAATTGGCTTAGCACCCAACAGAGGAGTCCTTTTCTGCTTCTTTTCTTCTCCTTCCCTCCAGAAGAGAAGCATAAGAGGTTGTTTCGACTGCTGTCCGATTTGAACTCTCCCCACATATCATCCATGCCTAGATTTACCATTTCATGCAGGTAGTTTATCTGTATTAATATGAAACAAAAACACAAGATAAGTCCATTGGGATAAGAAAATTCAAATAATAATTAATAACAACAAAAATATTTTCCACACTAAATATTATTTACCAAGACTTGACATAAACCTATATATATATATAGGTTTAGGTAGCAAGCAAAGCAAAGCAAAGGAACTCAGAGCACTACCGGTTCAACAGCGGGGAGCACAACTGAGGGGAGCAGACGCTGCACCAAGACTTGAAATTGCGCTTTGATTGCTTGGAAGATGCGCAAGACTCGGTCATCTGGTTTAATTGTTTTCTTAAGCCTGAAACAAACGTGGGCCAGTTGAACAAAACCAAAATACATGGATCCATAAAAAAGGCAGCTGGCCGTCGTTTCAAGCTCTTGTATGTTGTTCTTATTCGGATACGCATCATGATTCATATATGTCTCAATGCGTGCTATGCCTATGTGACTCATACAAAAGTACTTCTTCAGACCTTCTCTTACACGGTCAATGCCTCTGTCGAAATCAAGGAGTATGTTGATATTGCCGTTCATAATAAACTTCAAGAAAAGAAAATTCAAATTAATTAGTGTAGTTAACACATTTCAATTTAAAAAATTTTAACCAATTTAACGAAAAAATCAACAAAGAAGAGAGTAACTAAGTAGTATGTATTTTTTTTTTTTCCAAGAACTAAGTAGTATGTATGAAATATTTGATATTTGAACTGACCTCTTTTTGCAAAAAGTGATAGCTTGTAGCAGAGGATCAGCTTCTTGAACAGCTAGCGCAGAGGCCATTTCTTGAACAGCTAGCACAGAGAGAGAGAGAGAGAGAGAGAGAGAGAGAGAGAGAGAGAGAGAGAGAGAGAGAGAGAGAGAGAGAGAGAGAGAGAGAGAGAGAGAGAGAGAGAGAGAGAGAGAGAGAGAGAGAGAGAGAGAGAGAGAGAGAGAGAGAGAGAGAGAGAGAGAGAGAGAGAGAGAGAGAGAGAGAGAGAGAGAGAGAGAGAGAGAGAGAGAGAGAGAGATGCAGTTGCAACTCAATGAAGATAATGAGGGACGGAGTACTAACACACTAACACGCACGCACTTCCCTCTGGCTGGCTAGGGTTTGAGACTTGAGGGTCTTATATGAAAGTCGTTTTTTCTTTATTTTGGGATCTTATATGTATATAATGAGAATAGGCCTAGGGTTTGTCTGCGTGCCACAATCTCCAAAAAGAAAAGCAAAAAAGGAATGAATTTGCTAAGCAGATAGTTTGGTACAGTAGCCACATGACTCATGAACACTTGTAATGGAAAGAATTTCTGCTTCAATTTTGAATAAGAGAGAAATTTATAATATTCAAGGATGAAAAAAAAGGAAAGAGGAAAGTTAGCTTTCTCAAGACTAACACATGCTCAAATTTAAATCCTAAGTTTCCCATTATTTTTAACTTCCTGTTTTATTTTCCTCTTGTTATCTTTCTCTTTATACTCTCTGACTTCATATACCTTGGATTGTAATCTGTTTTCAGAAGTAGGATTTGAGGGATCCAGGGTTTATGATTTAATACCCAAGTTTTATTCTTTTTTAATTAGGAGTAAATTGAGTTTTTGATGTGTCAACTTTTAAATCCGTTAGATTAAATTTTAATGATGTGGCGTATGGAGAACAAAAGTATAGCAGATCATGGCAGAGAAAATCAGAGCAGAGGATCCGGATCCCTTTTCATGGGCATATGATGTCATGAAACTTTTAGTCCACATAAATCCTTGCCCCTTTTTGTTCTTTTTGGAGATCGTGGCACGCAGGCCAGACAAACCCCAGGCTTTATTCTCATATATATAACCCCCAAAAGAAAGAAAAAAATACTTTCATATACGACCCTCAAAGTCTCAAACCCTATTCTCATTATTCGGAAAACAAAAAACCTACTCTATCTCAATCTCTAGGTCATTATCTATCTCTTCATTGAAATAGTTCTTCAAGCAATGCCTATTCAAGCAATACGTGATATGCTAAAGGCTCTCTCTTCTCTGCAAGAAAAGGTCAGTTCAAATATCAAATATTTCATACATACTTGTTAATTACTTGGTCTCCTCCTTTGTTGATTATTATCTTTTTTTTTTCTTGGATTATGTTTCACCATTTTTTGATTTTTTTGTTTTTGTTTTTGTTTTATTTTTTTGTGTGTGTAGAAAATTATTATAACCGACAACAACAACATAATGAGTTTTCAAGAAGGCAATTATCATTTAAGAAAAAAGCTACACGAATACTTTCGTATGAGTCAACTAGACATAGCGAGGATTGAGGCATATCTGAATCCGAATGAGCAAATCAGAGGAAAGCTTAATGTCAAGGCCATCCAACTTCGTGATAAGTCTGTATATTATGGTTTTGCTCGACTGGCCATTGCTTGTGATAGATTTCTGAGAGCAAATGAAACCTCTAACGGATTCTTGTCCTTCCTGCCAGTCAAAGAGGAATTTCAAGTCTTGGTGCAACATTTTCTCCCCCTACCTGGTCCGGTAATTCCCTGCTTTCCTTTGCTTGATACCTAAACCCTAAATATAAATATATATATATTTAAGTCTCGTCTCGGTGAATAATATTTAGTGCGGGATATATTTTTGTTGTTATTAATTATTATTGGGATTTTCTTATCTCAATGAGTTTGTGTTGTGTCGTTTCATACAATTACTACAGATACAAAACCTGCATAAAATGATAAGTCGGGCTGCGGCTAAGATTGAGACTTGGGCATATCGTATCCATCACTTCGGACGGCAGTCGAATCAACCCGCCCTCTCTCCCTGCTCCTCCTCGTCCTCCAACCTCTTCTGCTTCACTCTGGAAAAGATTTGTTGTTGTGTGATTCTCTAAGTTAATTACTGGTGTATTGTCATCTCATCATCTATCTGCTTGCTTCATTGCATTATTATAATCATATTTATGTACGGAAATTAAACAAGAGAGTATTTATATCAATTCCATTGCGAATGGTTTTATGTCACTTTCTTGGATTGATTGTGGATGCAAATGGTAGACTGCCTAGCTAGCTACCCTACAATATGAGAGGAGGAAGATTTGATACTAGGTGTTAATTTGACCTTCAAGCACCATAATTTACTCTGAGGTCTCACATGCTGTGGGGGGTATATATGTGTCTCTTCATGAACCCTCTGTTGTGTTTTCTTTTAAAATTTCATCATAATTTTCCAAGTTGATAGTTTGGTATAATGGCCAGATGAGCACTTGGAATGAACTTTTGCTTCAATTCCAAAGATTGAATAATAGTTTAATATTAACGATGAAAGAAAAAGGAAAGTTAGCTTTTCAACACTAAGTGCAAGTTAAGACTATAAAACTTCTCTATCTACTACTGGATTTCATCAACTGCCACTTATTTTAAACTTATTTTTTTATTTTCCCCCTTTTATCTTTCTCTGATAAAGATTTTGGATTCTAATCCTTGTTTTGATTTTCTACGTTAGGATATACTTCGCTTTTAATATGAGACTGCCACATCAAAAAAATACAATAAAAGGGTTGATATAATTAACACATTACTTATACTAATCAATAAAATCTAACTTATTATTCTCTTCTTCTTCTTCTACTAGCCACAGTAAAGTCTTCTTCTCACCACGCACAGAGGACTCAAACAGACCCTATATATCTTGACAAAAATAAATTGCTCTCCTTTCTTTTTCTAATCGCAATTTTTTATTGGCTTTTGTAGATCTAAACTCTATCTTCTAAGAACAGAAAACAATTGCTAACCCGAAGGTTGGAATAAGAGGACAAGACTTGATTCTCCTGTTGGTAGTTTTGAAATAAAAAAACACAGATTTTTTTATTTTTTACAATTTTATTTTAAATGGGAGAGAGTGCAGGGAGGTGTTAATTGGGGTTGAAAATTAAAAGGAAAACAAATAGAAGACAAGGGGGAAAAAAAGAAACGGGCATGGATTCTTGGTATGTCTGTGTCTCCTCCTACGTAGGAGCTCAATCCGAATTCAATTATGGGGCTGTAATAAAATGGTTTCTTTGAATTCTAGACTGAGAAAAGAAAGAAAAATAATCAGAATTTGTACGTACTGGGGGTTCGCTTTCTTCTTATGAGACCCTATGTTGAGATTTTGAGAGAACACAAAGATAATAAGGCTGATGGAGGAGCCTTTTTACCTCAATAACATTAAGTTATCAACTAATTGCAAATTTATTAAAAATATTCCTAACAACTAATTAGCTAAACCACGTAACATTCCTTCCCACTTTGAAAACGCCTTGTCCTCAAGGCTTTGCTCATGAACTTTATGTTGGCGTGAATCAATTATTTTTTATTGTAATTGATTTTTATATTTATGTGTAATTATAGAAATTTATTAGAAAACCTTCAAAATTTTATCAAAAATTCAAGTTCTCCCTGAAGAAGCACTTTGAAGTTTTTCTATCAAATATTATAAAAAATAATTTTAGCTGTCATAAAATGCTTTTAATCTTTTCAGAAACAGTTCAAAGTAGGCCGAGTCTTGAAACCTAGCCTTAAACTCCCAACGATATATATTATGTGCCAGTCATAAAGATTTTTTTTTTTTTGGGTCGTAATCAATCAATGTTCATTCAAAACCTCATAAATGGGAAGAAAACGAACAAAGAATACAAGAGTGGGGAGCACATCCGCTCTAGCCAACTTGGCTAATTGTCTTTTTAAAAACTTTCATTTCATTTTAATCTTCATGTATTAACAACTTTTATTTATTATAAAAAAAAAAAAAAAGATATTACAGGAAAATTGAACAAATTTGTTGTACAAACCAAATATGGCAATGGGAGAAAATGGCATTTCCTAGTTTTCATTTTCTGGCGTATGAACATCTTCTATTATCATCTTCTGGGATTAGACATTGAAGTAGCATTCCCAAGAAGTTTATTCCACGAACAAACCGAGCCCAGAAGGTATTTTTTCCTATATGACCAAAGGTTTGACTTTTTTGGAAAATATCCCTGCTCCGTAAGTGTAAGCGAAGATCTCAACCAATAGGGGAAATTGCATCCAAACGAAGGAGATGATTGGAGCACTAGCAAGTAAAATGATTGGAATCACAATCCATGACTTTCCATCCAGCATAATGAAAAGGGTAGAAACAAACCCGATCATCATTGTGGCTACAGAGAAAAAGAGGGTGAAAAGGCCTATAATCATTTTCTTTGGCAATGATTTAAGGAAATCAGTTTCAGCATAACGTGAGGTGAGGATTCCCAAAAATGTCATTACTGAAGTTGTGGAAGAAAATAGTGATAGGGCAACAGAAACCATAAAGACCTTAAACAACATTCTATCTAAGAACATGGGCATGCCTGTATCTCCATTGTTTCCACCGGGAACTGTAAATGCTGCTGTAAACATGATGGTAATGATAAGAGCGCCTACAACCGTGCAAGAAGTTGCCGTCTCTTTCATTGATCTTTCTCCTTCTTTCGCCAATTCCTTATGAGTCTTAGTAAATAGCTCACGTGCTGTCATGCCATCTGTATCATTTACAACCTCAAGAACCTTGGGAGGCACAATTTTCTCCACCTCCTGCATTTCGTTGAATAAAAACTCGAAGCAATTACTACTTTCATATTCTCATAAATCATTGACTACTTTATTTGATACTCCCATATCGGTCTTCTACTTTATTTGAGGACAATTTTTATTTTATTTTTGTTACAAAATAAAGAGAGTATATGTACACAGGGAGAAATTCTGACCTGGAACCATTGTAACTCTCTCTGCATTTGCAATGCTGCACCTTGGATATGATTAAGTTGTGCAAGTGGGGATAAACTTGCTGCTGAATGTAGCAAAGTATTGTTCAACTTATCTGTTACCGCTAAAAGGCTAGGCAATACTCCGCTCAATTCATACAACAAGAAATACACTTTTTCTTGACGACATTCAATGGCAAACTGAAGCAAGCTTTTTCCATTTTCATCAATGAGCCCAAAAAGTAATGGATTCGTTTCAATTATCTCATCAATAAGCTCGACACGCCCCTGTTTAATAGCTTCAAAGATTGCTGCACTTATGACACTTCCTATCACTTGTTTAGGACTTTTATCTTTTATCACTTCGCACATGGAATGTAAAACTTCCGCGGTTCTTTCGTGGACCCATTTTATTTTGTATATGTGGTCAATGCCTAGGTTGACAGCGGCATAAATTAAACTATATTAATTGTCAAATCTCCAAAGAATATCAACCAGACAATGTTTAAGAGAATGGATGATTAATTAGACTGAAAATTCAAAGAAAAAATTGACAAAGGATGGATGTGTAGTATTACGCACCAAAAAAATGACGGGGATTTGGAACGAGTCCTCGCAATCTACAGATACCTACATTACAAATCCAAGTATGTTTGCCTTAGCCTAAAAGACTTCAGAAAAGAAAGAGAAAAAAAAAAAAGCACGGTCTAAGGCCTTTAAACTTCGGTCTGGGCCGGCTCAAAAAATAAAAAAGCACATAATGACAAACCCTAATGCAGCATACCTGAGCGAGCTATGAGATCATTTCCACTAACTGGGCCATCTTCTGGTTTTTCAACATTTATACGAATATCAAGAGTTGTAGTAGCAGGTGGTATGTGTATACCTATCAAGTTATCAACAAAACAACATAACGTATGCCTAATCAAAACGTTGAGGTAAGAGTTTTATGTTACTATACAATGCTTTATGTCTAATGAGCACATAACCATTATGTAGGGCGCACAAATTCAAGTAGGTTTCACTTTTATCAGAGATATGATACATAACATGATACAATATAATATGGTTTATCGTATTTTTCATAATGAAATTTAAGCAATAGTCCAAGTTGTTGCATTTACCAACGCACCAAAAGTCATGTATTTGATATCTCGTTTAGTGACCCGTTCTGGCCATATATAGGTTAAGATCACGGGCTCAGGTCGTACTTAATGATTTTCTTAAAAGATGGGCTTATCCCGGCCTATTTATTAAGTGGATCGCCCAAGCATGGCCTAAAGCCTCAATGGACATGCCCAGCGCGGCTTGACTCGACACCTTTAAACTAATAATTGAGAAGCTACAAATAACTTAATTACATTATATAAGCATAGATATAATATTATTATTATATAGTATAACCACTCATATGGCCCATGTTACAGTGTGGATGTCATGAGTTCAATCATCTATCCACCCCCACACAAACCCCCTCCTTGAAGAACATATAAACAAAAAATGAGTTAAAAGACAATCAATTAACCATTTGATTGGGTTTGACATTTTATTAAATTACACTTATATGATGGATCAATTTTTAAATTTGACAGTTTTTTTGCAACGATATCTTGAAGAAGCTCCTAGAAAATGTATACAAAGTCCATGATTGAGACTAAATTGTAGAGTATATCCAAAAATTAGTGGACTTAGTGGAGTGTGCTTAAAGTTTGTCACTTAACTTGCCACACGCTCACGCGTGTGCCAATTGGTTTTTTTTTTTAGTTTTTAGAATTAAGAAAAGAAAAAATGAGTAGTTATTTTCCATAAAAATAGGATCAATTATCTGATTTTGTTTTTTAATTTTAATTTTTTTAAATATAAAAATGTGAATTTACCATACTATCCTCATTTAATTAATAATTTCAACTCTCATTGTTTGAATTAACCAAGGGCATTTTCTGGTATTTTGAATGTTTCACCATTCTCTGCCTTTTGCTTTATATATATAGATTTATATATTTATAATAAAATCTTTAGAGTTTATGCTCACATTCATGCTCAAATATGGATAATCTTGTATGGACATGTCTGCGAAATATGAGACAATGCGATATAACTTTAAATAATCAAAAGAAAAGAGAATGTAGTACTAACTGTCATAAATCCATTTCTGCCAGAATTTAAGGGGCGTTCCACTTAAGAATCCAGAACTCGTTGTAGCGCACATATGTAGAGGGGTGAGTCCGGAGAAGTTTGTTGTAATGGCCAAGTTTGGGCAACGCCTAATTAAATCCAACGCAATATCTGCAGAGTAGAGTGACAAGAATGAATGAATCTTATTATATGGCAAAAACTGAAATACATAAATGCTTCACAAATACACTTACCGAATTCTTTGGCAATAAAACTCTCAGAAATAAGCTCAGCGCCACCGCAGCCGTTGTCTAGCAACAGAGCTTCGAGTGGAGTAAGAGAATAGAAGAAGCGAGCCAATTTCCAATGCCCGCTACTATAAGCCTCGAGAAGTGGAATCATGTCGCCGAAACATGGAAGGCTAAGAATTTTCTTGTTTTTTTCAACTATGCACTTAGCCACTTGGGCGAGTCCTTTGTTCGCAGCGAAGCCAATCGCTGTCACGCCATTAGCGTCTTGTATTTCCAAGTCTTCCTCTGCCATCAACTCCACTAACGACATTGCCATATCTTCGTACTCAAGTCCAACTGCCAAGTGAAGAGCTGTGGCACCGGATACTGAACCTCTTTTTCTAATCACGTCGGGGTTTATACCAAGATACTCCTTGGCTGAATCCCAGTCACCATTTGTCACAAAATCAATGAAGGGTTGATGCTGGCCGAACTCACTGTAGTAGCTGGAGTTACTCTCATGTCCTGCCAAGTTCTTGTTTAGATTTGAATTACCATATGACTAGTTCTATAGACAGTCTTCAAATTGAGAAATTCTTGACAGATATTGAAGAAACAAAAAAGTCTTTACGAGGGCAAGATATTATATAATACCATCATTTGACGTCAGATGGATATTATTCAAGTCTTCAAGTGGCATCAACGTCACCAACTCCTCCGCTTCACACACATAGACCAGAAACTTTTTAGAAAAAGAGAATTCTTTCTTGATTGGTGATATTAACCATGAGACAATCTATAGGTGCGTACCTTTAGCCGGCTTTAGCTCTTCTTCCAAAGTATCCCAAGCAAGCTTGGCCGTGGTAATACCCCCGATTAAAGAGTAAGTATCATCCCCGCAAGAACTCTGGATTGCGTATAAGGCCTTGGCGTTATTCTTCCTCCAAGCCTTAAACTCAGCCTCACCATCTTCTGGTTTAGGAGGTTCAGTGGTGGCTTCCACAAAGTCCCAAAGATCTTCAGCTAACAAGTAGATTTTAACCCGAAAACTCCACTCATCATAGTTATAATTGTTAAGAAGCTTAAGATTAGCAATTACACCAGTAGCAGGGACAACTGTAGCTGCTGCCATGTTCAATCTGGCAATCAAGCATGTGTATATATATGTTAAAACTTAAAACAAGCAAGAAAAAGAAAATCAAAGAAATTAATATAACCATATACTCACAGATTGAGTTGGGGCAATCTTCAAACATCGAAAGTCTAAACTCTCACTATGCATTTGCGCATCGACTAGGCAAACTCCCCTTCTGATTTATAGATAACAAATAAGCAAAGACCAAAAAGAAGATTAAAAAAGACTTGGCAATTAAAAAAGACTTGGACGATGCCCATTGCTCATTATTCGTATGACAGGTTGGGCATGTGGACGTGCTAGAGACAAAAATTAAACGAAGAGTTCTCCACCATTGGCCCATTGGTTGACCAGGAACCTCGTATTACATGTAGCTCTATCTACAGTAGTAATGAGACAAAAAAAAAATTTGTCAATGGCCGACTAAGGAGGATTATCACAATTATTTAAGAAGGTGCATGAAATATAAAAGTGTTGCCATTGCCTCATTGCGTGCGTCTCATGCCCATATTCATTTCAAGAAGCCAACATATTAATATTACAAGCCTGATCAACATGTTAATGTTGGAACGAATCATATCTTCAGACAAACCCACTTGTATATTAATTTGATGTTAAATACTTTATAACTTGGATTTATGAACCTTATGTGGGTAAAGCCCAACGACCCTACCACATTACACTCTCTTCTGTTTTTGTCTCCAACGACCCTACCACATTACACTCTCTTCTGTTTTTGTCTTCTTTTATTGTTAAAGGACTGAAACATTTCATTAGAAATCACAAGATACTGTCTTTTCTTTACATAATTCATAAAACAAACAGGGGAATGCTAACAACCTTCTCTCTAACCTTCTCCTTTGGACCTTCTCATATATATATAGTTATTCTCTTATCCGGATGTCCGCACGTTATTATCGTCCGGATCCTATTGTAAACAGGCAGGAAAACAGAGAGGCGTAGTACAAAATACACTGCGTCCGCACGATAATAACGTCCGAATGTCCGCATAAGAGAATTTCTGTATATATATATATATAAACACACACTTACATTGTGTTTTCGTTACATGTTTCATAAAAACTTCTTAAAAGTGACAAAGCCAAAGACGAACATCATATGACATCATAAGACAAATATCACACCGCATAATCAGGATTTTATTCCCAGGCAATGCATTTCTTGTCAAATATTCCTCTTTCATAGGTAAACATGAAAATATCAAGAAAGATGGGGAATTGCATCCACACAAACGAGCTGATTGGAACGCTAGCAAGCAAAATAATTGGAATAAATACTCATGATTCTCCCTCAAGCATAATAAAAGGAGTTGAAGAACAAGCAACCATCATGGTTGTGGTGGCGATAGATAAAAAAAAAAGGATGAAAAGGCCTAATATCATTTTTGTGGGCAAAGACTATAGGAAATCATCCTCTGCATAACGTGATGTGAAATTCCCAAGAATATCATCACTGATGTCGAAGAAGATGGGAAAACCTATATCTTGATTGCTTCCACCAGGAAAATGTAAATGCAGCAGAAACATAATGGTAACAATAAGGGCACCTACAAATGAGATATAACTTTGGTAAATATTACCTAATGTATTATAGAAATAAGGTTCAAATTTTTTTTTTGAGAGAAAATGGTATTGCATTCAACCCAAAGAGAACATTATATGATAAGAACGAGCATGTTAACGGTGGCCTCGTTGAAACCTTCCTGGGGAAAACCACAGGGGATAAAAACCCGAGGTAGGAAAGAGCACCACCCATATTAATGACTAAATAGAAGAGTCAACACCCCTATTACATAGTTAGACAATGCTAGACCAATCCTCCCTAATGCCATCTAGGAGCTAGGGAGGTCCATCACCCAACCAAAAACAAAGCTCCTCCGCACGAAGACTATAATGTGCAATACGATGAGCCATACTGTTGGCAATAAGGGGGACAAAACGAACACAGGAGGATAATGTCAGGAAAAGATGCCGAATTTCAGTCACAAGCACTCCCTTAGAAGCTAAACACTCTTCCTTCTTTGATAGCAACTGCACTGCAATCTGGGAGTCAGATTCAACTACCAAGGGCAAAAGCAATGCATCTAAGGCAAAAGAGAGACCCACTTAGAGAGCGTAAACCTCGGTAGCCAACACAAACAGGAGACTAGATGCCCTCATTGCCACCGCACCTATAAGAACGCCGTGTGAATCTCGAACAATCAGACCTACCCCTCGGAGACCATCCTGCAAATCCAAAGCACCATAGACATTATATTGAGCTTAAGATAACCAACCTAAGGAGGACGCCAATGTCAATCTGAAATGGGCAAAGAAATACACCTATGAAGTAGTAACTGAGATTGATGATATTCCACAACATAATTCTTTGCATAGAAAAGGAGATGCTCCACAGACATTGGATAAGAACCAAAAAGGACAACATTCCAAATCATTCCACAATAGCCGCACAGTAACAAAAAAACATTTACCTTTTTCTTTTTTTTTTTGCATATGCAACATTCTATGGCAAAAAAAAAAAACGTATGAGATATAACTTTGGTAAATAGAATGAGATCTCAGTTGCTCATCTACAACAAAAGTGATATTCTTGTTTTGGGCGTGAAATTGTGGGGCTTCATCTTCGTGAAGTGAAAGAAGAGGTTTTATTTGGATTTTAATTTTTTTGTTTATTTTTAAAAGGAATGACTATTTGTAATAATTTGTGGACCAAATAGCCCCTCCCCAAGTATAGAAGTTAAAAAAGTTTGTCAAAAATTGAAGATTGTCCTTAAATTGCTTCAAATTGAAACTACAGGAATCCCGATATTTTCATCGATATTTCCGTATTTTTGAACCACCGATATTTCCGAAACCCCTGATATTTAAGACCTTAATTGAAACCAACAACAAAAGAAGACATACAGCACCCACTGAGATAGAAAGAGACCAAACCACAGGCAGCGAGGTTATTTGTTTTCTTCTATACCTCAGCCATAGTTCTTATCGAACACTCAAAACTGAATCCCATTTCTCATAATTCAGCCAAGCCCATGTCCACCTTGTTCTTAATCTTATTCATCTTCTCTCACGCCCCTTTGCGTTTTGCAAACTCTCGAAGTCCTTAATTTAGCCGAAGAAATCCCAAATTCAATATATCGACATGGAGGTATCAATAACATATCTAAATCTACAACATAACAAAAGACTTATATATATATATATATATGGGTTAGCATAATGTTGGAATTATGTTCGGACCCTCATGAGTTACGAATCATGCGACAAATGCTCAAAACTGAATCCCATTTCTCATAATTCAGGCAAGCCCATGTCCACCTTGTTCTTAATCTTATTCATCTTCTCTCACGCCCCTTTGCGTTTTGCAAACTCTCGAAGTCCTTAATTTAGCTGAAGAAATCCCAAATTCAATATATCGACATGGAGGTATCAATAACATATCTAAATCTACAACATAACAAAAGACTAATATATATATGGGTTAGCATAATGTTGGAATTATGTTCGGACCCTCATGAGTTACGAATCATGCGACAAATGTGTTAGTGAAGCAGGACTACATCTTCGCAGTCTTTGTCCTCTTAGTTGATGGGCAATAATTTGGATGGTAGGTTGCCTCTTAAAGTACTCAAATGCAAATTTATTTAGTACAATAAATACCGATAATGCGATTTATGAGATAAATCCCAAATCCATTGATAATCCTATGGTTGACCGAAATGGTCCCTCGACTATTGCTCCAATATAATTTTGGTCCACCAACTAAATAGCATTTGAATTATGAGCTGACAAAAGAAAATTATTTTTATAATGAAATAAAAATGGAAAAGTATCAATAAAATGACAAAAGAACGTAAAAATGAAATGATGTTTTAGGGACCATTGATAAAAACCACTCTCATTATTCTGAACAATAAAAATAAATGATGTTTTGGGATTTCACTAATAAACCCATTTTAGCATGACATAAACCTAGTTGGAGTGAAAAACCCAAAACTATCTAATTGGCTCTTATAAAAATTTAACACACGAATATGACATAAACCAGAAATTTATGTCGTCCTTTCAAATCTTATAAATCTTGTAATAGAAATCTTTAAACTCCATAAGTAAAAAATCTTGATTATAGAAATCCATTAAAAAAAATCCCATAAGTAATTATATTATGCTTAAATCCGCAAGGCTTTTTTATCCCTAAATAGTCTTTCAAAATCTCAATTGAATATGCCCCCCTAATAAGAAACAATTTGAAAATGACAAGTGAATAGTTTTAGGCTTTTCTCTCCAAATAGACTCTATATGAACTTTTGTATAATATTCCGCCACAGAAAAAGGGGACTCTCTCTCCAAACTAGATGCAACGTCTCGAAAAATACTTGAAAAATTCAAGATCTTTTCAACCCAACCTGCCTGATTTCCAGATAACCAGTTGACCACTCATGTGCTTATCTTTTGTTGCTTTGCCATCTTCATGGTATGATTTTCTTTTAAAAACGATCAGTTTGAATTCATGTACTTATCCGACTAGATATAGAAATCTCTAGTCCTCCGTTGTTCTGTAATTTATATTTTGAACCAATTAAATATAGTGAGCAAGAACTCTTATATTTCTTTTACTGTCAAGTTAAACTCAGATAAAAGGAGGTTGCAGAACTTGTTTTAACTGTTTCATTAAGCATTTGTCATTTAATTGCTTTTATATATGCGTGCTATAAATGTTTAGATATAATTCAGTTAATTCCCTGCTTTCGTATTTTCAAATTCATTATTTGGACCCGAAAGAAGGATCTTGGCCCGAACAAGGCTGTATTCGTCCAAATGATAGTAAGTTGATCGGGCCCGAAAATTGTACTATTGGGCCCGAATTGACTGTTGCTCCAACTTGAGGGCTATTTGAATTCAAACCAGGTTGCTAAACCCAAGCAGGGTACTACTAACCACGATCTTGGTTTTTCCCCCTACTTGATCAGGTATCGC